GGGGTGTGGCGGGGGGGAAAGGGCTCAGTTGGCAAAAAAAAAAAAAAAGAATAAAGTATACTTGTTTTTTGGCAAACAAAACGTGTATGTATGCAGAAATGTTGTATATATCATGTTTCTGTCATAAAAGTCGGAGTTAGGTAAGTGTTTGCTTGTTTATGATTATTCTTGTCAGTTCTTGTCAAGTCCACTTTGACTCATGGCAATACCATGTGTATAGTGTGCCTTTCAAAAGCATATCACCAGACCTGTCTTCAGAGGCATCAGTTTATGCTACCCATGGACTCCTGTCTGTGAGTAAAGTGCCCTGAAATATATTTTGTTATTGGCGCTTTGCCATTCCTCTTCCATCCCAAGGCTTAACTGGCTAGCAGCTGGGCTCTTAGCCATCGTGCCACCAAGGCCTCCCTTCCTGGCACCTTCAGTGGGCTGGGCCCTGGGGACTGTGTATTGCAGCTTTCCTCCCGTACAAGTGTCTTGATGTGTATATTGTCACAATTCAAAGGCTGCTAACAAATCATGTACAGGTCACTGATAATTATTTAAAACAAACAAACAGGGAATTTGGCTGACATTTCTAAGATTTTGCTCTTTTGACTCCGTAAGTTCATCTAACACTGAACTAAACAGAATTTATTTTGCAAGAAAAATAGTTGTAGGGTGAGTACAGACTTTTAAAATTGTGAACAATAAGGGACATTTTACAAAAGAACATGAATGGTAGAAGGGTGTTAAGAGCAAACGCCTCTTCTTGATATTGTCTTTATAGACAGGCTGGTGTGTCAGGTGGGATTACAGGGACAGTTCTTCCATTGGCCCCTATGGCCAGTCTTGTCCTCTACTTCATGGTTCCAGAGACTAGAATTTTTAATTTATCTGTAACTGCTCTGGGAAGTTGCATTGACCAGTCCTTAGTGGGCTGCAGTGTACAATAGACGATCATTTGAAAAATTTACATTGGGGAGTGAGGGTGGTATCAGAAGAGGTAGTGTTTTTGTTGTGCATAGGATTCTTCTGTGTCGGAACAGACTCATACAAAGTACAACAATAAAACCACATTGGGAAGTATACAACGGTAAGTTAAAACCTTGTTATAACATCATAGAAACCTTTATTAAACAGAAATATACAAATGTGAAGCTATTGTTTCTCGGCATATCTTCTGTTAGTTCTATACTCATCTGAAGGCAGTGTTTCCATCTTGCTAAACCTACCCTAAAGTATTGTGCTCTTTGAACTATGCCACATCAAAATAGCAGTTCTGGCATCCTGATGGGACTCAAATCATGTTCCTTTATTTTTTATTTTTTGAGTTTTGGCAACAAAAAGAAGTCTAAAGGGGCAAGATCAGGTTTATAGGGTGGATGAACTACTATTTCCTGACGAAATTTTGGGCAACCCTTGCTGCCCTTCAGGAATGAGTGGGTGCATTGTTATAATAGAAGAACAGGTCTACCTCCTGAAAGGGTGCATGTTGGTCAACTCTGCATGAAGGCAGAAAAGGAGAAAGCCATTGAATCAGAAGAGGACATGGCAGGCACCATGCAAGCAATGGCCAGAGCATCACCCTCACTCACCCTGTGGGTTCTCCTCTCCTTGGTAGCCTTGACGGCATGGGAATGGGCATGGGCATGGGCCTTGACTGGCACTGAGCATTCCCTTAGACAGTTACAGCAAGAAGCAGACTCTCCAGGCAGGGAGACCGGTCAGTCGACCCAGCCTTTGGGCTCCCCTGTCTATCAGAAGCCTGATATCCCAACAGGACCATTGAGCCTGAGAAGACTGCAGCTCTGGTGCCATACAGAAAAGGCCCGAACCAAGTTGTCTGTTTTATTTATACATATATAAACTATCAATGTATTTATGAAATACAAGTTAACCCCATGGAAATACAAGTTAACTTCCATTCAGAAACTGCTGGAAGCAGTGAATAATGTAAACAGGGTCTGAAGTTAAAAAAACCCAGAAGTTTTTCCTAAGAAACACAACATAGAACTCACTGCCATTGAGTGGCTTCCAGGTCCCAGAGACCCCAGTCCATGGGGTTTTTCAGGCTGTAAATCTTTACAAGAGCAGATAGCTCTAGCCTTCTTGCCTGGGACAGCTGGAGGGTTTGAACTGCTGACCGTGACATTAGCAGCCAACATGTAATCAACAACGCCAAATATACAGAATTCACAGATTTATTTTCCAACAAGGGAAAGCACTTTACTATTTTTGCCATTCAAAATGCCATTTACAAATTGTTTTCCAATAATATGTTGGGTTGTTTTTTTTTCAACATCCCTGTAATAGCAGCTGCCATTTAGTCTTTGCATTAAGTGTCTGGTTTTCTCTGACGTTTAGTGTAATTTGTCATCTTTACTAGCAGAGATGAAATGTCATTCTGTGGCCTCCTTCCGGACTCGAATTATAGCACGTCTTTTTCCAGGAGAATGCAACAGTCTCCTGGCAAGGTCACCTACCTCACCCTACAGAAAAAGAACAGGGAAAGTGGACTCTAAATAATGTTACCACCTAACGTCCTCCCTTGACCTTCCTTTGATAGAACGTGTCTTTGAAGGCTTCACCTTTAGGAGCCCCCAAATTAGACTTTATGGTTGCTTGCTGTATTCCTATAGTCATGTTTTAGAAAGTCGAGCAGCTTGACACAGTCAGTTTCTTTTAGGATATTCAAAATATCTTGCCAGATAATTCCCAATAGATGGAAAATAATATGAAGAGTAAATAGCACAACCCTAACACAGCTTACCTTTTGCTTTTTAGCATGGAAACTAGTATTAAATAGTTTACACATTAAACACAGTCTCTGCCTTGCAAGCAATCAGATTTCACTGGCTGCCTCTGATTTAGGAACACAGTGGTTCAATATATTGGCTAGAGCGGCAAGGCACATGGTAAGGAAAAAAACAAAAACCTTTGATAGCGCCAACATAACATGCTAACAACTGTATCAACAGTGAAAGCGTCAACAAGCCATCAAGAAATGAAAGTCAAAAGTAAGATGATAGCAATGTGTACAGCACAGTATCAGGAAGGGTGTACCCTTCCTAGACCATGGTAAACGGACTAGGAAGTTTCACCTAAACTAAGAAATCTGGTTACAATTTTTTTTCACATAGATTTTCCTAGAGGGAAGGTGCCAGTGAGTTATTTTGAAGAGTCATGCTGAGGGTACGCTCCCCAAATATTACTACTGGGGTTCTAGTTCATATACGCACAGGCTTAGTCCAGCAAAATGTGTTCATACATGTCTCTATGATCCGTGTGTGACTGCAGATATGTTCTCTCAAGAGCACGTTTATCTTCATCTTATTACGGTGCCATCAAAAAACATCCGATTAAAGCTGTGTCTTCCCAGGGCCACTGTTAGTCTCAAGGCAGAAAATCCAGCTCGGAAGATTCTGGCAAGTGTTCCTTCGGGATTCCAAAGGAGTCCTCTTGATGGATTCTTTTGGACGTCACAGGGCAATCACCAAACAAATCAACCCCTCGCGCTACTGAGTCAATTCTGACTTTAGAGCAACCCTGGTACGGGCAATTGGGCTTATTATGAAGAATTTAAAAGAAAAATTTAAGTCGGAAGTGGTGAGGAAAGTACATACATTTTGACCATGTGAAAGAGAATCTCATGACCATCAAAAGCTAAGAGCCCCCAGCGGAGCGCTTGTGAGACCTGTCTCTGGAATGGAGGCAGCCGAGGCCCTGGAAGCTACAGTACTGAGTTCATGAGGCAGAGCAGAGGAGCCACGCTGAGACTGGGAGACGGAAGTCAGTCTTCCCAACCTACAGAACAAGGCAGAGGCCAAGGGACCACGTGGCCGAGAGACCCGGACTGGAGCGAGCCAGGCTTGCCAGCAGGACTGAGCAGAGGTATTGCAGGCAGAACTGCATCCTTAACATGCTGTGACCCACTCACAGCACCAAGACACAAACTCACTACCATCGAGTTGATCCCGACTCATAGGGACGCTATTACACAGAAGAGAACTGCTTCTGTGGGTTTCCAGGACCGTTACTCCACCCTCATCTTTCTCCCTCAGAGTGGCTGGTGGGTTTGCATGTCTGAGTTTAGAGTGAGCAGCCCGATGACTGTCACCAGGACTCCTTCTGGGTGACCTACCAGCTTCCCTAATAAGGTCCGTAGTTGTGAGCATGGTCTGTGAGTTCTGTGTGGCCATGGCCATGAATTAGGGGATCCAGCAGAGAAGCAGAGTGTAACGGGAGGATTGGCTGGTGTCAGAACAGGGTAAAG